TTTATATATATATATATATATATATATATATAAATAAATGGAAGTTACAGCTCAAAACCCAGGTTTCACCATATTAGAATATTAGCTGTGGTTATGGTGCTGCTTTCAAGAGATTTTCCATCAAGCTTCAGAGGAACAATGTAATATCTTTATTCAAAGAACCTATGATGGTCCATGAATAATGCATTATTATTATCTATTGCCAAAACAAACAACACATATTGTAAACTAAGAAAGTATTAGATGTCCTAAATTTACATCTTGGACAACAGCTCTTCTCCTCCTCTACAAATGTATCAAAAAATATTGTACAATCTGATTTCGAAGATTTTGATACACTTCCTGTGTTGACTAGCTAAAAGTGTTTTCCAAACCAAATTACTGTCACTTACACAAGCACTTGGTTTAATTTAATTGCATGCCTATAAGAAAACTTTCTAAAAATCTAGTTCATCCATTGTTCGAGAAAGTCTGACATTTTCTTGTTTCCTTCTCTGACTTCTTCTTACTGCATAGGCTCAACGATAAGGCTCATTCTTAAGACCTATATTAAAATGAATTATTTGATTTTATTGTAAACTTAAAAAGTATCTGAAGATTCTGTATGCTTTGCTTTAGAAAACATATTTAATTTTATTTACTGTTTGAATCAACTTTGTGAATAAAGGTTTTAGTTGTTAGTTACCATCATGTGCCTTCCTTAGCAACTAAAACATCTACCTATTGCAAATTTCATATAAAACAGAGGACATATTAATCTTAGAGCTGATAAAATTATAAAAATATTGTGAAATGAAAATTTATGCAATTAATTCGAGAAGTATAATAATGCCCAGACATCATAAACTCAATTTACTTACTGTTACATCTCTAAATCTAGATTTAATTCTCATTTTTTGTACAAATATTGTTTGTTTGTGTTTAAGCACAAAGCTACTCAATGGGATATCTACACTGTGCACACCATGGGGATTGAAACCCAATTTTTTTATGGTATATGCCCGAACACTAGAAGCTAGGGAGGCTACAAAATAATTAATTGGTAAAAATATTTTTATTTACATTTGTATGTTTAGCTAAAGGTTTAATGAAATAGCCAAATTGAGAATTATATTTTAAAACAAAAGCATACATATTAGACAATGTTCAGTTCATTGATGTCATTAATGGCAATTTTAATGTCAAATTTAAAGTTCAAATGTATTTTCTAATGAAAGAGAACTTCTCACCTAAGAGTATATCCTCAAGAGCACCGTTATAGATTTCATCTTGTTTTAAAAGCCTTTTTTCTTTGACCTGACGTGTCTTATTCTTCAATTAATTGAGAACAGCATCCTAGAATTAAAAAAAAAGATTCAGTAAACTGATTTTAACAAATAATATAAAAACAGAACATACATTGGAAGTGAAATAGCACAAAGAAAAACTACTATTTTAGAAACATAAAGATAATGAAACTACACATATAGCTAAGAACTGTAATTGTTTGGAAACTTTACCTGTTTAATTTTTTGTGCATTGAGAGTTCTTTTTTCTTACATATGCTGGAGGGTTTTCCTCTGCTTCTTTTGCAGCTAATTCTTGTTTTCTCCATTGCTCATTTTCTTGTTCTGCTTGCTAAAACATTGGTATTCAAAATGTTTGATATACATAGCTTTTTCACGATTATACAGATACATTAACAGACATTAGGAAGTATAAAATTTGATTCTGTAATTACAACACTCTAAACACAACAAGTTAATATTTAAATACATTTTGTGAATAAAGACTGATTTATTTGTAAGATAAAGACATAAAAATGTATACACCATATTTAGATAATATCCCTTAGATAATTCATTGTTTTAAAAAAAATTTCAGATATTTTATTCATACACTCTTATATTTATAAAATATAATATTGAACAATATCGTTAAATCTTGTTTCATACCAATTGATTTTCATAGAATCTAGCCAATTACTTGACAAATGTATGTGTGCACTTGTGTGTATGTTAGCATATAATGATGAATTGCTGGATCGCTTGTCATTAAACCTGGCATGTACTCTTAGAGCTCAACAGGGAGTGAATTAGGGGAGGTCAGTTTTGGATATGACCCCACCATATGGCATCCCCCTGAGAGCCCCTACATTTTCCCCTTGAGTTGAGCAGGTACGTCAGCTGGTATGCTATAATATTAAAGTTAAATTTTGATATTTTAAAACTGAAAGATTCATTAACTGTGTGCTCCTGGTAAATGATAAAAAAGAACACATAACATGTACACACTAGGAGAAACAAAAACATGATAAAGAACCAAATTTTCATTAAGTTAACTGTCTCTAAAAGCTTGAAATAATACGTTTTTCAATTAATATTTTGCCTAGCAGCTTCTTCATGGGCATATTGCTATCTACAAGAGATCTTAACCATATGTACATAAGTGGGGGTGGAGGTCAAAGTGT